TGTGGGTTCCACTTTACAATAACTTTTCCCCAAAAATACAGAGGTGATTTTAAATTTGATCTTATGGAAATATTTTTGATCTGCAAGAATATTGTAATGATTAATAATTGTAAGGTATTCTAGTGCATTTTTTTTTAGAACAACTTTGGTGATTTCTGGCTTACCATCTTTTTTAACTATTTTATCGTTACTGTTCATATCAGGAAAATTGCATTTGACTAAGCATTTACTTGCTTTCTCTGGAGTTCACTTTGCTCTTTACCTTTGACGTCTTTGAAAAGTAACTAGTGTATAAGACATGCCTTATGGCTGACCATTAATTGTGAATGGAAGAAATTTCTTTAGTTCAATGCGGGCAATGCGCAGAAATTGTGCGGACTGTGTTGAAGATAATGTTCAGCATTGGCAATATTGGGTTGTGGTTGGATCCTTCTTTCAACATTTTTTTTGATTTGTTGCCTAACTAACTTTTTAAAGCGCAATCTCCAGCCCTTGTGGTGGTGCTTTTCCTTTGGGAGTAATCCCTTAATTACTGTGCACAGTAATCTCTCATAATCCAACATTTGTATCACAACTCATCCAGTTGTCAAGCGGTGACCACCAGGGAGCATTCCGCGTACGTGCCTCATTACACACAACAGAATTGGAAGAACTAGGATAGGTTAGGGTTTGGACACATCACAGAGTGGACTAGCATTGTGAAGAGTCGCAAATCGTTTGACGAACAATGTTCATATGAGATGTGTTTGGGAATCAATGGAGATTGAACCCCAACCTCATTGGTTGAAAAGGGAGGACTTCCGTCTGAGCCAGCTTTTCCGGGCCATGTTTCCAGGGCATGTTCACATTCCCCGTCGCCAGTATCAAAAGCATTACATGCTACGTTGATTTACCTTCCATCCATCCTTCAAACATTGCCATAGCCATGCGCACCCAAATCTTTCCTTCTATAGGCCCCGAGAAGAGGCCAGCATTCAGTAGTGCGATAAGTAATGGACGAGGAGAAGACCTCGCCCTGTTTAGTAACAACCCTTTTCTTGGAACTATTGATGGTCTCTTATGGAGTCTATGATTGGGTTCACATAATAAGGAGCCCAATTTCAATTATTGTACTGAATTCTAAATATATTCTATCATTGTGATGTCCGATAAACCTAAACAATGCGTTCTGATTGATTAGAATTGAAATGATCTTTGT